TATTTATAAAAACTAATAAAATTACTTGAAATGACTACTTATTTAATATTTATATTTATAATTATAATAAAGATGATTGAATTTTTTTATATATAATTTTTATCCAATTTAATTCTTATAATTGTTTTTTTATAAATTGCAACCTTTTATTTTTTTCTATAAATTTTACTCTATAACGGTATGTATTTTAAATAATTATTCACTATTATATAATTTTAATTATTTATTATTTTTAAAAAATAATTCGCAAAAATATGATATGTTTTTTTTATACAATAGTATATAATTATGTTATAAGTATCTTGTAACAAGGATTGGAAAAAGTAAATAACATTAAACACAACTAATTAAGTAAATAATTAAAATATATTATTTTAATAGTCATTTATTATTATTATTTTTATTATAATAAATTCATTTTTTTTGTTCTCAGAAGAATACATATACAAGTTGCTAATGTGTATATATAAGTGGTTAATGTGTAAATTAATTAAAAATTAAATAGAAAGTAAAAATATAATTGAAAACAAAAGTACATAATTAATATTATTTTAAAATTTGAAATCGATAAATAAATAGAAAAAACTAAAAAAAAAAAATTCATGAGGTAATTACATCATTTGTGTTGTGAAAGCTTTCTTGGAAATTCCTTTGAAAGGTGTCCCTTCTCATGATAGCCAATGATATTATGACATTGTATCAATCAACCACATCAACTTTTTGTTGAATTTTTGACCTTTTCTTTTTTAAACCCGGTAAATATGAATACGAGTAAGTTCTTAAAAAACTCATTCGAATTCTTCTTTTTCTTCGTCTGTGGAACTTACTCCTTAATATTAAGAGTTTTTGCCATCGTTGTTGCGTCAATCTACTACTTAGTGAGCCTTTTCTTCTTTCTCAATTAGAAGCATTGTTAAAGTTCAGAAATAATATCTCAACTCTGAAGCTCTAACAAAAAATTTCATTTTGTATTGTGATGGAGAAGGCTCAACAAGTTACCAATGCCATGCAATCGCCATATTTTGACCTAATGGAGTTGGACGACCTCATGCGTCACACTGTCTTCAACAAGACACTAACGCTCGACCAACTCCTCAAGCACGTTTGAGATGTGTGGAAGGAAGCCACTGGCGACGGGAGCAAAACGTGGTTGCACCACATGCTTGACATTGTCAAAATTGAGCCTCGTTGTCATGTGTCCTCTCCTTCAGCAACCTCACCTACAACGTCAAGGTGTGTCGCAAAATAAGTCTCTCCACAATTGAGGCGGCATGACAACAATGATAGAAACTCTTGGCATCAAGGAGAGCAAGATCACATGAATGAAATCGCTGTTGAAAGAGGAATTCGGGTGGGGTGGGTTCTTTTTTAAGAATTTACCTATATCCATATTCATCAGGTTTTGAAAAAAAAAAAAGGTCAAAAATTGAAACGAAAAGCTAGCGTGATTAGTACGGATGTCATGATATCATTAGCTATTAAGAAAAAGGGCACCAATACCTCCTTTTATAAGAAAAGGTTCCAAAGGAATTTCCAACTTTCTTATAAAGATGAAGTGGGAGAGAAATCTAGAGATAATATGGAATATGACATATGAAAAATAAAAAAAGTTGTTTTTACACAATGTTAGAGTTTAGTCATAGATGAGGGAAAGGTGAAGAGAAAATAGAGAAAATAGAGAAAAGTGTTTTTGTATTATTGAATATAATGAATTACAGATAAAGGGATATAGAGATCTTATATAATGTGGTTACAATAGCTAAAAGGGAAAAACTAATACAATTATACATTACTAATCTAAAACCAAATCATAATAGATTCTATCTCAATTTATTAGTTCCCTTTACACCCCCTTTTAAACTCATGTTACCTCTTAAGGTAACCATGAGTTTGCTTCGGAAAGCTTCAAATTGAGAGCTAAAGATGGGCTTGGTAAGGATATCAACAACCTAAAATTGTGCAGGTAAATGGATGACTTGGATAACTCTTTTAATGACTTTGTCTTTGACAAAATAGATGTCGAGTTCAAAATGTTTGGACCTTGAGTGCATTATTGGATTAGCGGCTAACATGACCACACCAAGATTATCACAATAAGCTTTTGGAATTGTAGATGGGACCCTTAATTCACTAAGGAGGGACTGTAGCCAAAGAAATTTTGTAGTAACAGTTGCAAGACTTCGAAACTCAGCCTCAATGCTATTGCGAGAAACAACTCTTTGCTTCTTGGAACACCAAGAAATAAGATTGCCACCTAGATAGACACAAAATACTATGATAGACTTTTTGTCATTAGGATCAGATCCCCAATCAAAATAAAATAATAAAAAAAAGAAGCTTGAAAAGTGAGGTGAGGTGGCTTCTTAAA